AATCTACTAAACATGTGGAACTATTACAAACTTGCATTAAATGATCTCAGAGTAGGAGTGTAGGCAGTAAATATACTTAAATAAAAACATACTTTGCTACAATAGTACTTGGGTTCATATGGTAATAGCTACACAGAGATGTTCTGTTAAATCCAATGTGAGTCTGGTGCACAGAATAATGGCAGACAAAAATAATTAATTCATTAAATGCTTGTTACCACAACTGCTCAACAGTACCACCACTTCCCCTTCTGCTTTCTTAAGTTTCCCAGAAGCAGTGCCACTCAAAAATATGCCCAAAGATACTGGGCTTCTGTCTAAATCTTCGGGGTCCATTCAAGCAGAAAGCACTACATGTCAGTCCAGGCACCAAGCAAATCACTCCAGTGCTACTGTTAAGCTTCGTGGTAATGAAGGGTAACCCATCTATGGAGCAGTCAATGGAATGGATACCGCAAAGCAGGAGAAGCAATAGGCCACTCATGAATAGCGATAATCAGGATACAACACTCCGAGAGCCAATCAAACAGCACAGGAGAGTTACAGCTTTCATGTGAATAATTTATTCTTTTATCACTTTAAATTTTACCAGGTACTTACTTACAAAGAATTTTTTTTTGCGGACAGGATTTACATGAGCTACTGCACAATTTTATTCATTAATAGGGTATGATTAGCATCCTTCCCATGTTGCTTAACAGCGCCTGTTTTGACCAAATAGGGCTATTCTTTTGCCAATTATTCCTTTGACTTAGTTTCCATGTGTAAACAGAATTTGTACAAATGCCTTTGCTGCAATTAAAATTTCTTTTTATGGAACCAGTTAATAGATGGAAATAGTAAAGTTCCATCTGTCACCAGCATTTGCTAAGAAGGCTTGTTTCTCTATTGAAGCAGAGATTTTGTTTTAGATGCAATGAAGGCTTTCAGCATTTCCATGTCAGGCACTGCAATGCCTCTTCACCAAGGCATGACCCTTGAGAAGAATCCAAATTACCTGCTTGGCCTCCCAGTACAGTGCATGACGCCCTTCACCTCAGGCTGGCAACCCAAAATACAGCCTGTCCGAAAAGCTTCCCACAGAAAGCTTGCTCAATTGCACCAGCATGTACTAAATGTGTCCCACATTACCCATCTAGGAGCCAGAGCCTCGAATCTACCCAGAACTTGGTATGCTGGAACTTATGTGTGCTTTTGGAGGATATGTATGAGGTTTGTCCCTGAAAAAGAGCTCTAGGATGTGGTCCCAGTACTCCTCTTCTAAATAGTCATCTAGATTTGAGAGCACACACACACACATGGAGCCAGAGGCCTGAGTTCTGTCCTTGCTCAGCTTAAGGGAATTCAAGCCTACATTCTCTAGCAGATTACTCTGAAAACAGGAATACCTTAGGGAGGAGGAAGCATTAAAAATCACTCCTGCATATCCTATCAGAAGTGGGAGAAGGGGACTGTGAGACTCATGGAGAAGAAAGAGAGCAGAGAGGACTATGCCTCTCCAGCTAGTCTTCAGATCACTCAGTCAGGATGAGGGTTTGAATTCACCTACCTAGAGAATTTCTGAGATTTTTAGCCCATTAATGTGTAATACAAAATGCATAAATATTTAGAGGTTAGGGATTAGCTCCAAGACGTCCTTCAATCCATTGCCAAGTGGGAGATGTGCACTGAATCCTTGCAGGCTAAGGAAGTAAACATATTATGTCTGTATTCCCACGCAAATACGGTAGCCTTCAGGCTGTTAGATAAAATAGCTCTGTTTCAAAAGCGAAACATATGCAAACACAATTCAAGGGTGACCTAGCCCTTTAGTTTGTCCCATAAAACCACATTACACCAGTGGCTTCTGGGTATCGCATCATCTAGTTTCAAAGGAGTTGAGGCAGTAGCTGAGTCCAACAGCTCAGAGGTGAGCAGTTCTGAATGGGTGGAGGGGAACTGCTCAGCACCTCTGCACGTCAAAGGGACAGTGGTTGCTGTGGTTAAACTGGAGAGCTCTGGGATGACGATTTCAGTCTTCAAGTGCCTGAAGACTACCTAAATTCTGACTTCAGTACCCAAGTTTGGCGAGGTTTTTTTGATATGTTGAAAATGTAACGGGGGGGAAGACAACTCTCGGCAAACCTGCCTCAGGCTCACCAGGGAGGAAACAGAGGCCACAGAGCAGGAAATCTGGCTAGAAACATGGCTCTGCTGTCAATCATCAGACTGTGATTATGCAGAGTGTACAAAGGAACCAGGTTGATGGACAGCTACTAATAAGGACCAGACTCTGCCCCCACTTACGCTGTGTAAACGGTGAAAGGGGCTAAGCACTTCATTCAGCCTTTTCTAACAATAGGAGCTAGCAAAAATACAAACCACTGCGGGTTTGCAGAATGCTTATTACGGTAAAGATTATTTCCAAATGTACTTCTTCATGGTGCACAGCAACAAATATTGGAAGAAAGGATATGTTTCATTCTTTCCTCAAAGTCTGTGGCACATTTTTGCAGCTTAAATCATGGAGACTTTCTAAAACTCATTTAGAAGCATTTTCATGCATTAACAGGAAGGAAAATACTTAATTAATGTTTAATGAATAGGAATACAGAAGCTGGCTTGATTCCTCCCTATGCTGTAGTATAAGAACTATACTACATAGTGTTTTCAACTACAAAATTGTATTGTAAGATAAAACAGACATTTCCTTATGTGTTCCTGGTGACTCTACTAATTCAAAATCTGGTCTTTAGTTTAGGTATGCACCTAAGTGTTTCACTACACAGCTTGAAATACTTTCTACAGTTAACATAAAAATGATGCCGAAGGCAAACACATCAGTTTTCTTTCCTGCTCAAGCTACAGTGCTGTAATGTAATTTAGAGTCAACATTTCCAAGGATTCTTGTCTGAGAACTAGGTCCATCACTCAGTGAAAAAAAATCAATTTCTTTGTGAATCGCTAACAAATATGCCATCTGTGGTATTAAATTCCACTGCACCAACCTGTACTGAGGCTAAGATAAGTGTCACACTGCAGGCCTACACCTCCTACCTGGGTGATGCTTTAATTAGCTCACTAGAGAACAGGCTCACTTGGCTAAGAACTTTTAGGACTGGATCACTGCTTTCTACAGGATGGCTAACCAGATAAGCTGCATTAAAACCCTGTGTGAGACAAATGTAGAAAAAGAAAAAAAAAAACACATGAAAGTGAAGGAAAGAAGTATCTATAAACTTCACTATTCTCTTTTGTGAAGATAGTGTCTCTTAGGACAGAGCCTGCTGCCTTCCTTTGGAACTAGCAATAACAAATAAGAATGCTAATGTCCTGTTTTAACAGAAACATCTTAATAAAACATAAAAGGATCTGCTTCCTTTGATGTAAAGTCTCTATGTCTTTCTAAAATATGAGTCTATACTAGAGCTTTGAGTATAAACAATTCCCTTAGACAGTCTATGCCAGTTCCAGGCTGAATTACCAAAAGCAAAAACACTGGTTCTTTTTTTCAGAAAAGGTTTCTCAGTGATTTACCATAAAGCTAAAACATTTGCCTTGTCTATTGATTTTTTAATATAAAATGTAGAAAATAAATGCATGTGCCCTTTTCAATACAGTCTGTCTGCGTAGACAGTTTGCACTTTTCCAGTTCTGAGTAACATGACAAAAAGTATGCTCCAACTTTCCACAGGCAGCAAGAAGCTTTGTGTGTTTGTCGCGTTAGGATGCTGCTCCACAAACAGTGCTCTCAGCCGGTTCAGAATCCCAGTGACAACATATGCCGTCAGCACGTACTGCAGTTAACAAGGGCTCATTGATTACAGCAATCGTTAGATCAGAATAAATAAGGCAGTCTCTCAATCAAAAGACAGGGAAATAACATCATGCTAGTGCACAATATAATCAACATGTGTAGCGCATTCCCATTTTCCACATCTTCCTTTGATGGTCTTGCACTAAGTTGGAAAAGCCTCTTGCCACAGGATACTGAACATACAGTGAAACATTTAGGCTGTCTGCAATCAGTTTCAAAGAACTTACATTTGGTTTACGTTAATTTTCCTTGACCTGCAGTTAATTAGAGAGAAGCTGAAGTACGAAATATTTCCCCCAACTCTAGTGGCATACGTGGTCATGTCAATCAGTTGCAGTCTGAACAACTTCAGTTCATTTTTGTTATAATTTAAAATCTCTGATAAAAAAGGTAATAAAATGATGTCTTTTTATACAGAACCAGTGCCTTTTTCAGATAAAGAACAAAACAACATTTCATATCTGCTATAATATGCCACATTTTAAAAAGATTACTTGCCTTTTTTTTTTGTATTCCAAATACAAACATGTGGCATACATTTGTGTTGCCTAAAAGTTTAAGTCTGGTATCTGTTAAATCATTCATTGTGGTTGAAATTCCTGGGACCACACAGTGCCATGTCTTCCTTAAACCATCTATTGCACTAGAAATGAAAGGCTGTGATGGAGATGTTCTTTCTATACTTTTCTAACACAGGAAATAGTTGGTTTAACATAAAAATAAATGCAGCGAAGCTACATGGCCAGCAGTGCTTATCCCTCAGTAGCATCCCAGAAAGAAAGAAAACGAATGGCAGAAAAGGCTCCAGTCCACATTGCAGCTACGTGTAAACACGTGACCAACACTTAACAGTAACGTCCCATTATGACACTGTTGTCAGGAATTTTTTAGAAATCCAGGTGTAAAAAAGCATTTCTCAGATTAGGAATTGGCACAAACATAATCCAGAGATTATCCTTTATAGCAGCTTTTCCTTTCATGTGCTCACCTTTTCACACAAAGCACAGCAAACATGAGAAAAGTTACAACCGAGTTACAACCAAGTGGCTCCAGCTCAATATCTTAGGAGTGGAGAGGAGGAAAGGGGGAGCCCCTTTTCTCTGCAGGCATGCCAGAGAGGGCCCCCTCTGCTGGGTGAGTTTCTGGGTCCCCCCCAGCTGCAATGCAGCTCCCCACTCGGGAAGCCAGAGCTAGGCTGGCCACCTCACAGTGGGAGGGAATCCTCCTGGTCGCCTGTTTTCTCCAGCCTCTCGGGCAGGGTGAGCACAAAGGGTAGGAGGACACCCTTGGCATCCAAGGGAGCTTTAAGAAGCTCCCTGTCAAAGGTGCCCTTGAGCCCGCCATCTGCTTCCACCTCGCTGTCCAGAGCTAGGCTGAAGCGGAGGGTGCCAGTCCGGTTGACGCAGTAGATGGTATTGCCCAAGGGAGCACAGCGGAAAGGCTGGATGGGGCTGCCGCCGCTGGGCCGCAAGCTGGCACACTGGCTCCAGCACTTGGCCACTGTGTTGTACCGGAAAACTTCGACACCACCACCAGTTCCGCCACCTGGGCCCTGCTCCCCACTGCGGCCGCTGCTCACATCAAAGCGGTAGATGAAGCTCTTGAAGGCCACCATATCAGCAGAGCGCCGGCGGCTGCTGTTGTAAGGGCACTCCTGCCACTCATCACGCTTGGGGTCATACTTGAGCAGGCGGTAGAAGAGAGAGCCTCCCGACACATAGATCTCCCCATTGCAGGTGGTGGCCTCGTGAGCCACGGCGAAGGCACCCTTGGGTAGGGGTGCCACAGGGCTCCAGCGGTCAGCCCGTGGGTCATACCTCTCCACGGTGAAGAGGCACTCACCCCCCACCGCATACAGGTAACCGTCCAGGGCCAGCAGCTTGAGCTGCGAGCGGGGCTGAGCCAGCGGCCGCACCTGGCTCCAGGTGTCGGTGAGGGGGTTGTAGCAGAAGACCTTGTCGGAAAGGCGGGCCCGGGGCTCACCGCCTGATGCAATGCCCCCTGCTAGAAAGAGGTAGTTGTGGAGGACGCACATG